GAGCTCATTGCAAGGGGTGTGTTGGTCTCTTCTCACAAATCATCTCTTCCTGAGCTTTGTTTAGGGCACCATACTGCCCATCTCGAAAAACCTGCCTTTGCCTCCATGCCACCTGATGCTCGGTCCCGGTACCTCTCACCCTTCTCCCTGTAGCCATCACTGGCTGCAGAAGAATGCCTCATTTCTGCATCCCACCAGCTTAGCTTCCAAATCAAACCCATGTAGGATGTCAAATTAGGTGTTCCTTTCATCCATTGACTCTTCCTTCAGGGCAGTGAAAAGAGGCCTTGCTTGAGGCCAGGTCAGGAGATAACTGGGAATTGTGTAAAGCCCTAATGAGCACAGCCTGAAGGTGTGTTCACTCTTCCACTGGCCACAATGCTTCAACGTGTCACACCACTGGCCCTGACTCTCCCATCCAGGGGTCTCCCGGCCCAGGTAGGGCCCCCACTCCCCTTCTATAATTGCCTCACACCCTTGTGTAACTGTTAATTAAATGCCTCATTTCTTGGCACGTCTATGGGCTTGAGCCATCTGCTTATTGATCACATTCTTCTGAATATATTGGATTTTATGGAAGCCAGCCATGAAGCAGGTTATATTGCAGGTGGCCCATTGAGAAGTTTTCTCTAGTGCAAACTTGAGAGTGTGTGGTGTGTGGTGACCTGTGGGCATACACATGAATCAACAAGCCACAGACATGGGGTTGCAAAACTCGGACACTGTCGTTGTTAGAAAGGAATCCCAGTGGCTCACACCTGTAAACTTAGCACTCTGGGAGGCTGAATTAGGTGGATTGCCTGAGCTTAGGAGTTCAAGACCAGCCTGAGCAAGAGCAAGGCCCCATCTCTACTAAAAGTAGAAAAACTAGCTATGCATTATGGTGAGCACCTATAGTCCCAGCTACTCAGGAGGCTGAGGCAGGAGGATTGCTTGAGCCCAAGGGGTTGAGGTTTCTGTGAACTGTGATGCACACTAACCAGGGCAACAGAGGTTAGTCTAAATAAATGAATAAATAATTCAAAAGCAAAATGCAAAATTTCTCTAAATAAATAAATGTCTCTAAATAAATAAATAAATAAATAATTCAAAAGCAAAATGCAAAGTTTCTACTGGAAGTCCTTCCATTACTGTTGGTATTCCATAGAAGAAAAATGTATGAAGTTGGCCAAAAAGACACCCAATCACTGAGACCTCTATGGAAGGACTTTAGGATAGATTCCCAGCTTGCAGATCGCTCTGGAGCTGACTTCTCTGACCCAGGTCATGTGTCTGGGTCCTGAGAGCCTTGGGGGGCTTGGATATCTTCCCATTGCTGTATCACCTGCATCTCCAGCCAGCATGATTGGTATGCACATGATTCTCATTGCTGCTCTTTACGCTATTACAGAAAGAGCAGAGGTGCTTGGATTTCTTAAACTCACCTCTAAATAAGAATGTTTGATATCCCTGGCATTCACCAAAAACAAAAGGACAACCATTGAGGAAATTCCTCATTTTTCCCTCCTGAATTCCTACTCCATTCCTGCCTTTAACTTACTTCTTTGAGAATCACAGACAGCTCTTCTCAGGTTGAGGTAAAACACCAGCATAAACAAAGCAATGTGAAACTTCCTGGAGTTTGTCTGAAATTCTTCTTCAGTTTTTGTCAAAAAGCTTTCTCCCAGGGTGCAATTTTGCAAGATTACAGAAGGCAGCCAAGGGGACCAAAGCTGGGTTGAGCGGGGCCTGGAGATGGCCACATGCAACCACTGCCTGACAGGGGTGGTGTAAGACCCCCTGGTCCATAGTCTGTGGCCTGTGTCAGATAAAAAAGAAATCCCAAAGAAACAAATGGGGCTTAATTAAGCTGAAAAGCTTCTGCACGCTAAGGACACAACATGTGAAACAAAAAGACAACTGACAACCGAGAGAATAGGAAAAGATATTTTCAGGATATGAATCTGACAGAGTAGATAACCCAAATCCATAGAGAACTCAAATTAAGCAACATAAAAAGAGTAAACAATCCTACCTACCACTGAGCAAGAGATATGAACAGAACATTCTCTGATGAAGACAGGCTAACGAACATTTGAAAAGATGCTCATTGTCTCTGATCATCAGAAAATGCAAATCAAAACCACCTTGAGGTATCACCCAACCCCAGTGAGAATAGTCCACATTATAAACTCCCAAAGTTGCAGATGCTGGTGTGGATGTGGAGAGAAGGGAATACTTTACACTTGGTGGGACTGCAAGCTAATACAACCTTTTTGGAAAGAAGTATGGAGAATCCTCAAAGAATTCAAATTAGACCTCCCAGATGCCTAGATCCCATTACTAGGCATCTACCCAGAAGAAAAAAAACCCTTTTATCATAAGGACATTTGCACTAGACCAGTGGTTCTCAACCTTTCTAATGCCACGGCCCTTTAATACAGTTCCTGTGAGCTGTGACCCACAGGTTGAGAACTGCTGCACTAGACTGTTTATCATGGTTCAATTTACAATCTCCAAAATGTAGAAACAACCTAAATGCCCACCAACCCAGGATTAACAAGCTGTGGGCTATGTATACCATGGAATACTATTCACCGATTAAAAAGATGAAGACTTTATATCTTTTGTATTAACCTGGATGGAGTTGAAACACATTCTTCTTAGTAAAGTATCACAAGATTGGAGAAGCAAGAATCTAATGTACTCAATTCTGATATATGAAGCCAGTAGATGGTCTAATACACACTCATCTAAGAGAAAAACTCAATTTAATTCAAGGTGGGAGGCGCAGGAATGAGGA